TCTAAATATTTAGTTATTTATTGGTGATTAGTTTGTGTTCATTTTCTTATTTAGTTTATAAATTGTTTTATTTATTTATGGTTTATTTTTTTAGTGTTTAGTTTAATTTAGTTTAGTTTAGTTTAGTAATTAACTTTAGTTATTTTGTTATAAATTTGCTATTTGTTGTTAATCTAAACAAATAAATATTTAGTTATTATTAAAATGTATTTAAATACACTGTAAAACGAAAATATTTATTATTTTTATTATTATTAGTTTGCTTTTATTTTATTTACTTAGTTGTTATTGTTTATCAATAGTTTAAACTATTTATCAGTAGTTTAATAATAATTAATAATGCAATTAATTTGATAATATTATTTTACAATATTAAGACAATTATTTTTGGGTAACACTTGTAACGAATCAGCTCATGGGAAATATGAATAATTAATCATAACTAGTTATAATTAATTATTAATATTTTAGATCCGCTGTAGATATTAAGCTGACCTCTCAGGGTCAACCGTCTTGTCAATTCAAAAAATGTTAATTTCCTGGTTAAGGGAAATAACTTCCTTACTGTACAATTCTACAAAAGCTTGTAGCATAAATCTGCATGATTAAGTGACTCAGTTATGAGCAAACAATGAACCACGTCAAGTGTGATACAAGTAAGGTTTTATTAACCACATAAACACTTAAACTAGTCTAACATACTACATAAACACATAAACTGGTCTAACATACACATACACACACACACACACGCATACAGTTGGTATAGGAAAGGGTTAAAGCTTAACTCAGTACAGAGAAGAAACCAGTTTGAGTCAGAGAATCTTGGTGAAATGGAAAGGTCGAGGCCGAAGCCTGGCACGTAACTTAGGATGTTCTGGAGCGTTGGAGCGTCTTATCGAAACCTAACAGAACCACCGACTCAAAGAGGGTCCCTGGTGTGGGCCTTTATGGTCGGAGAAGAGTCACGCCTCTCAAGGTGGGCTTGTCCAATGAGAGATACAGAAATTCCAAGCGGGAGGTGGCAATTGCTGGAGGGCTTTATGACCCTTTGTCTCTAAGCATGGTAATTTGCACAAGTAATTCACTTGGGGTGCGGATGCACAAACAAATAAAGATTCTTAGAACACTAATATGTTGCGTAGGTGTAAACATACAATATACACTCTCAATTAGATCATCCGAATACGAATTCATAGATACTAAACATGGTAGGGTTATATATATGTAAGCTGACAGGAGTGAGTGTTTCGATCATATCTGCTCACATTCCTTTAGATCGTAAATGTATCTGGTGTCAGTGTTGCTATGGAACCAGGGGCCTGTTCGGCTTCCTGGGGTGTTACAGAGTATTTGTTAAATCTAGCTAACAAAATATATATTGTGTGTTTGAGTGGTCCAGACGCTACACACTTTAGTATAGGGACCAATTCTCACTATTAACTAGTTGTTTATTAGCATACCTTTTAATAACATATTGGCTGTTTATTAGTGCTTATGAAGCACATATTCTGTATGACCATATTCAACATCCCTAATCCTACCCAATACCTAAATTTAACAACTACCTTACTAACTATTAATAAGCAGCAAATTAGCAGTTTATTGAGGCAAAAGTCGTAGTAAATGGTTTGTTAATAGCAAGAATTGCACCTTAAAATAAAGTGACTTATTTTTGTTTAGTTTTTTTAGCAGTAGAAGTTATTTTTGCTGCTACAACATTTATGTAGAATGACCAAGTATTTTATGACATGCTGTTATTGTTTGATGGGTGCCTTTGTTATTGTTTGACGTTTCAATAGGCAGTTTAAATGGCTCCTTGGAAGCACACTGCATTGTGGTCATTATAGATAATTCGCTAGAATTGCTTGTAATGTTTTCATAATGTAACTGATCCTTAGCAATGTGTAATTTGCAGCCACTATGAAAGGGGGGATTAAGACTGACTGTCTGTCTTGGTAGGGTTCATTCAGAGTGCTATGCTTAATGTAATTGCACGTTATCGTGCACAAGAAGCTTAGAGGACCCACCTCTATTCCTCTGCCACCTTTTTTTCCGTTAAAAGAGTAATCCATCACATTCAAACAAAACACCAGTGTTTCTTTTCAGTCGTCTCCATTTCACAGTTGGACGCTTGCTGGCCTGTTGTCTGCAGATGGGGAGCCTTTCTGAACGAGACACAGTGGGCACGGAGCTGACTGATTTATTGTACCTCGATTTGATTGCTGGATGCATGTATGGGTTTGTTTGTTTGATTGTTTGTTTATTTATTTGATGTTTTATTTATTTGATGTTTGTTTTTTATTTTTAAATTAATTTAGTTTTTAATAACTTTCATTTGTTGTTTTATTTATTTGT